AACGAAACACCGAAAATTGCCTAAACTATATGATTTATTCGAGATTTCTCGTTGAAATCATAAAAACGCGTTTTTAATAAAAAACGCCGAGTAAGTCGTAAAAAACGTGTTTTTAATAAAAAGTAGAGTAAATCGTAAAACCTTTCGATTAACTCGAGTAATTTATTAAAAATCACGTCAGATCAGGAGACGATCCCGTGAAAAGTCGGAAAATGGTTTTTATCGTAAAACGGCCCGGAAGGACCTAAAACGCGATAAAAAGCCATTTCGCGATCTTAACGGAATCTAGCCCGCAGATTTGATAACGTTTTGACGGTTTACTCGCAGGAGGAAAATAAAAGTCAATTTTAAAGATAAAAGGAAGGTTTGAAGAAAAATAGAAGATTTCCGCGGAAGAAAAGGAAGGATCGAGAAAAATGGAAAATTCTCGATATAGTCGAATCTGGGCGAAATGGAAAGACCGAATGACCAAGGCGAGAAGTATATAAATAGGAGGTCTAGGGCAGAAGCAAGACACGGTTTTCAGTGCTCTCACCACCAAAATTAGCATTTAGGAAATTTTCCATTTTCGTTATCGAGCTGCGTCTCAACTAGGGTTTTAGTCTTAGATTGTTAGAACTAGGAATTTTGCCGACGGCTCACGCAGCTAAAGCAACTCTCGTTGTAACCGTTCTTACACGAATTCGGAATAAGAATCCTTCTTGCTCTCAATCTCGTTTTTCTTTTTATATCTTTCAATTTATTCATATTAATCGCGTTCTTGGTTACTTGTCGTTGGCTTTCACAGAGATCCGGTTCCTCTGGAAACTTAGGGTTTTCCCGAAGTTTCCTTTTGTACGATTTATTGACAGTAGGTGGATTTCGGTTCCCACAATCAAAGCGTATGATAGAATAGAGTGGGCTTTTATTCAAGCGTTATTTCAGAAAATGGGCTTTGACACACGGTGGATTCAGCTAATGATGGAATGTATTTCATCGGTGCAATATAAGGTATTTTAAATGGACAACCAAGAGGGAATATTATTTGACAGAGAGGAATGCGCCAAGTGGGTCCTCTTTCTCCTTACTTATTTATATTGTGCACAGAAGCACTGATTGTGAACATAGAAAAGGCAGAAAGACATAAATTTGGACTGGAATAAAGGTTGCACGAGCTTGTCCCTTGGTGTCACGTGTGGTGTTTGTCGATGATAGCTTATTTTTTTGCAAGGCACATAAGGAGAAATGTCATACTATTCTCAGATTTTAAATGATTATGAGAAAGTGTCTGGTCAATTGATAAATTTCCAGAACTCCTCAATTCAGTTGCTTCTAGGATTGTGGAAAATTTCCGGCAGGAACTTTGGAACATTTTAGGTATTCAGACTTTGGAGGAATGTCATCATATTTGGGTCTTTCTGAGAGCATGGGAGGATCAAAGATCCAAATTTTTGGTTTTGTTTAGGAATGCCTAAATAATAGAGTTAGTGTCTGGAATTTTAAATTTTTCTCTAAGGGAGAGAAAGAGGTAGTAATTAAATCGGTTGTCATTTCTATACCAAATCATGTTATGTCCTGTTATCGAATCCAGAAAGCAGCCACTTCAAAACTGATGAGTGCAGTGGCACAATTTTGTGGAGATCAGGAGAAAATACAAGGGGGCATGCATTGGAAATCCTCGGACAAACTCTGCATCGGTAAAGAAGAGGAGGTTTGGGGTTCAAAGACCTTTGGGATTTCAACACGGCTATGTTAGAAAAAAAATTCTGGCAATTGATCGAGAAACTCGACACTCGATTTTCTCAAATCTTTAAAGGACAGTATTTCAGTAACACTTCACCTGTGGAACCGATCTGCTCATACTCCCCATCTTATGAATGTTGTAATATCGTCTAAGCTAGATCTCTGGTTAGTAAAGGACTAATCAAAAGGATGTGATCAAGATCATCTATATCAGTATGGATTCCTTGGCTCTCAAGCACTCTCTCGAGACCAGCAAATAGTAATTATTAAAATCTCTACCCGGATCCCACTGTGGTTTCACTAATTAATTCATCTTCACGCACTTGGAACTCTCCGGTAATCCGATCATTGGTGAAACCGGAGAATGCAAGTATTATAGAAAGCATACCATCAAGTAGACATCAGCTGATGGATCAAGACGGATGGCTATTCACCACTAATGGGAGGTAGACGGTAAATTCAGGATATAAGATGGAAAGGGTATATTCAGACAGAGAAATATCACTACCGGTGTTTGGACCCACGGTTACCCCTTTAAAAGCTTATTCGTGGAAGATTCGCTGCCCACCAGCGATAAAACATTTTCTTTAGAAATTGGTATAGGGTTGTATACCAGTAAAGAAAAAATTTAGGAGTAGGGATATGCAAAGTGATGTTCAGTGTGCATGGTATGGAGCAAGTGAGGAATCAATTAATCATATGTTTTTTTAATGTCCTCCAACGGTACAAGAATAAGCCCTCTCCAAGGTACCATCGAACCTAGACGTTTTCCATTCACATGCTCTATTTACAAACATGGAATACCTATATTAGAGGGGGTCCCCATATATGAATGATCATCAATTTTTATGGATATTATGGTACATTTGGAAACGAAGAAAGAATAAAGTGTTTAGCAATACTGATGTGGATCCTAGATATACTCTAAAACTGACAGAGACAAAATCTTTACTTTGGGCTGAGGCGTAGGTCACAGTCACAAGGGAAGCTTCCTAGTTTCAAGAGACAGTACAGTTTAGTTTACCTTCAATATCGGGTCGCTAGTGTTTCACGGACGATGGTCATGGAAAGTGCAAGAGCCTTTCTCGAGACATGCATGGTACATCACACTAAAAGGATTTAAGGGATTAATAAGAGCAAGGAACACGAGAGCAAGTCTCTCGCCTTTACATTCGGAAATAGGCTCTCATATGGACAATGGAGAATATGAGGAACTTACATCAGTAACACGTTACTTTTGCGACATATTGTATTTAATTAGTGGCGATGGTTTCTACACCAGAGGAATAACCAACTTTTGCGAATTATATTTGGATGACATCAAGATTCTTAAGGAATTTTTAATCATTCAGAGATCATTCATATCCCCCGTACGATGAATACAAAGGCGGACAGTCTGGCGCGAAGTACCATGAAGCAAACGTCATTCATTGTTCACATGGATGAAAAGTTACCAATATGGTTTACAGAGTCTTCATAGAGTCTGTTTAGGTTGTCGAAAAAATAATAATAATTGTAGTCAAATTTCCAAAATAATATTTTAAAAATTTTGTCACCAAAATAACATCTAAGATATAAATCCTCAAAATACTATTTATTTGATTAAAGCTAAATTATTTTAATTCAACACTCTAATTTCACCTCCATTCTCTAAATACTAAACCAACTATAAGTATTCAAAATAAAAAAAAAAATTTGGTATGTAAATAAGAAAATTTAAAATACTTTACAGTATTAATTATCTTAAGAAATGTAAGAAGATTAATAGATTTACGTAATTTTAAGTATTATTTGTATTCTAGGTTTGTTCGTATTGTGTCCAGATCCGTATGTACCTATTTCTTAAACTCTGTTTGAGTATATTTTTATAACAGTTTGAAATTTATTTTTGTATGTTTGTGCATGTTCGCTTTGGATTTTGGGTTTGGTTATGACGCCCATTCCTAGGCTATTCTATTGATAAAAAAGAACTATATGGATAGGATGAGACAAATTAATTGTTGGAATGACAATTGTAATCAACAGATCCACATATCCACCAAGGCCAGAAAAATAGATCCATGAAGCAATTGATGAAGACAAAGTTAAATGTCTTAGAATTCAATAGATCGTGATATCAAAAATGGAATCTTCACTTACTCAAACAACTGGTAGCCAAAGAAGACATGGATCTGATCCGAAGAAATAAGACCTACAAGCATAACGGATATGATTGTATTTATTGGAGCTACACTAAAGATGGACAATCAAATCTGGGTAATATATTCAACATCATTATGTGAGACATCAAACCCACACATGGATTGTGCATCCTAATATTGAAGAGTGAAAATAGACCTTTTCTAGAATTTGGAAACTGAATGCCTCGCTTAATGTCAAAAAAATATGGTGGAGAGTAGTGTATAGTTGTCTACCAGAGGCAAGTGAATTGACTCGCAGAGGATGCAAAATGGATGAAACTCTTAGCCATGTCCTAGTGCAGAGTATCAAATTAATGAAGTTTGATAAATATCTCTGATTTAGGTTTCTACTGGAAAACAATAACTTAAATGACAAACATTGCACAGTGTGTTGAATCTATTGAAAACCATTGCGCCATGGTCTAACTCTAAATTTATAATTCAATATATTAGTTGAAGAACTTGAAAAATGGAGAAGAATTTTTTTATGAATGAACAACTAGAATAGCACTAAACCAAGTTTTTGTTCCCAAACTAGCACTCAAGATCAAAAGTCACAAAAATATTTCTTTGAAGATGGTCAAATGTCTATGTTACCCTTCTTCTTTCTTTAACTAACTTTTTCTGAAAATTAAAATCATGTTGCCTCATCTCCGGCGAAGAACATCTCTGTCGTTATCATCTCTGCCGTCATGGTCTTCCACGTCGATAAACTCGTCTATCATCATCTCTGTCGTCGCTCATCTCCATCGCAATCATCACCACCTTAATCATCTCGCCTTCACTCCAATCTGATACACCAAATCGCTTCGTTTCAACATTCATCTCTTCGTTGGATCTAACTTTGGATTTTGTTTGTTTTAGCGATTTTTGAGCTGTGAGGATTGTGATTTGGTAGATTATGGTTCCTTTTGTCCTGTGTATTTTCGAGATCGAAGAAGAGAGTGATTGTGATAAATAATAATAACAACAACAACAGAGGAAGGTTTCCACCGGGGATTGGATGTCCGGATCCTAATTTTCAGTCACGGAATCCGAATCCGAACCCGAACCCGCCTCAATAGTACCTTCACTCACGGACTCCGTTTCCTCAACATTATGTACAGTCTTGTACTCCGTTGCCACAGCAGCAGCAACCTGATACTCAGCAGTACATTCAGAGAGGTTACCCACAGCAAAACCCTTAGCAGATCCAACAGCAACAGTGGTCTACACGTGCTCAGCTTCTTGGTAATCCTAGCTATGTAGATGAAGTCGAGAAGACTGTTAAGTCTGAAGCTAACAACGATTCTAAGTAAGTGATGGCTGGAAAATCGTTGAAATGATAGCTTTTTCCTTTGAAATGATTTGGGATTAAGAGTCTGAATGACTGTTTCCTCTTGATGTGGTGAAGTAGCTGGCTTGTGCTTATTAAAGTTTACTGCTTTATATGGTTTGATTTGAAGTTAAAGTTCGTTTCTTTGATTATGTGGGTTTCTCATGCTTATCAGTAATCAGGACTGGAAGGCAACGTTAAAGCTCCCACCTCGAGATAATCATTATCAGACTGAGGTATTAGTTATTAAGTTATGAACCTTGTTTTGAGAAGATAGTAGTTTCCTTAGAGCATGTATTTTGTTCGTGTTGTAATGTGTGCAGGATGTGACGGCTACTAAAAGGAATGAATTTGAGGATTACTTTTTGAAGAGGGATCTGCTAAGGGGGATATGAAAATGGTTTTGAGAAGCCTTCTCTGTTTTGAGCCTACTTTTCGCAGAGTGATATGGTTTATCCCCTCTGTTCATGTTACCATCTATTTCCCTCTTCTCGTGCTTATGTAAAAGTTTGGTATTTTGCAGTGTGCTGAATCTGCTTTGAGGACAGTCTTGGGAAACCTCACTCACACATATTTTGTTGGCAATGCTCCAACGGCTCACATGGCTATACAACCTACAGTGCTGGCCCTGATTTCACACCAGCTTACATTTTTGAAGAGGATGTCAAGCATTTTCATTTTACTTCCAATCCTAACATTTTCTTAGATATTAAATATTTTTAGGAAATCCTTCCTAAATATTTTACTTGTCACCCAAAATATATTCAAGACTCTTACATTGTATTTTTACCTTGTTTTTTATAGCAAAATATTCTGGGAACCCATCCTGAAATAACAAAGTCCCTTCCAATGTTTATTCTTTAAAGGATGAGATGATTCTCTATTCTAACTGCATCTTGTGTGTTTGGTTTGTTTTTGTTTGTAAGATTTCTTAGAATGTTCAGGATAGCTTTCCTAATCATCTAAATCTCAGTACCACAAGTGCATCAGATGTGGCATAGGAGGGCACAACACTCTAACATTTTATTCTGGAAATCCATCCAAAAAACTTAAAATGCCTTCCAAGATTTGTGACACACAAGTAGGAGTAAAATAAAATTTTGGTTTGACAATTAACAGATGATTCTCCTCGGCCTAGCGGCCAAATTTGCATACTTTCTCCATACACTCTCTCACTCCGGGTTCGATGCACGGTTGATTCAAAACCAATTTTTATCTTCTTTTTTTTTGTCTGAAAACATCACAATTAGAAACTTATCAACCATGCAGATGTCAAATCTTTAGTTTTTAATCTCATTTCATTTTATTAATTAAAATTTTCTACAAAGAAACACTCTAACATTTTATTCTAGAAACCCATCCAGAAAACTTAAAATGCCTTCCAAGATTCATGACACACAAGTGGGAGTTAAATAAAATTATGGTTTGACAATTAACAGATGATTCTCCTCGGCCTAGCGGCCAAATTTGCATACTTTCCCCATCCCACAGTGTTTACTAACCTGCATAAACAAGTCAAACTTTTTTATGAGATTTCTGGAAAGCTATCCTGAATCTTAAAAACCCTTAAAAAAGACAAAACCCACAAAGTTTCACAAGCACAAGGAATAAGAGACTAACAATTTCAGTACGAAAATTCACTAGCTTATCAAAGATAACAACATGCATAAGCCTAACAAGACACCAAAACAAAAAGGTTTTCAATTTTGTTACCATCGGATTTTCTGGAAAGCCTTCCTGAAACAACACAAATCCTTCCTGAATTTTAAAAACACCACAAAGTTTCACCAACACTTGCAAGAAGAGACTAAACAATGTCACAAGAATATTCACGAGCCTACCAAAGATATCAACATGCATAATCTAAACAAGACACCAAGACAAAAAAAATTTCAAATTTGTTACCATCGGGTTTTTTTGGAAAGCCTTCCTGAAACTACATAATTTCTTCCTAAATTTAAAAAACACCACAAAGTTTCACCAGCACTAGCAAGAAGTGACTAAACAATTTCATAAGCATTTGATTAGCTCAACTAGTTCTCGAGAATAACATCTTATGTAGCTATCTAGAGAACAACAAAATCAAAAGGTTCATTACCTCAAAAACCTTATGTTCCCACAATTTAGCAGCCTTTTATTTGAGCTCCAACAATTTCCAAGGACCTTTCCTGCGCTGGACAATAGAGCTTCGTCTTTACTAGAACAACTTCTCGGGTTAATAGTGGTTTTCTTCAGCTACAAACAGTACCAAAAAAATGTGTTCTAAACAAATAAAAATCAAATCAAAATGTCCTTAAAGAGAACTTATATGTTTGTTCTTAACAAATCAAATTCAACTTGTCGATTAGGAAGGCTAAGATTAAGACAGTAAGAGCAGTAGCAATGATGGAAAGAGATCCGGGAGATAAGCGCAACACCCGAGTGTTCAACACAAATAAAGGGTGATAGTAATTTAGGTGTTGAATATCTCATGCTGTTCATGTCTTGCGTCACCAAACCAAAAAAAGTTCAAATTCTCTAGGATTAAAATTTCTGGAAGGCTATCCTGAAACTACGAAATCCTTCCATAAACTAAAAGAAAGAAAATCACACAAGTTTTCACAAGAAAACTCATCACAGTCCCACTTTGCATAGCATCATAGAAAAGGTTAATTTTATCTTAGCATCGAAGATCTCACAACAAAGCTTGCTTCGTAAGTCCATCTGAGTTTTCAGAAGGCTTTCCTGAAACTACACAGAAGCTTCCTGAAAACTTTATATAATCTAAACAGTTTCACAAGCAAAAGCAACAAGAGACTAACAATTTCATAAGCAAGTTCACGAGCTTTCCAAAGATATCAATATGCGTATGCAGAACAAGACACCAAGCAAAAGTTTTTTCAATTTTGTTACCATCCGGTTTTCTGGAAGGCTTTACACAAATCCTTCCTGAAATTTTTCTAAACACTACAAAGTTTCACATGCACAAGCAACAAGAGACAAACAATGTCATAAGAAACATTTGCAAAACACATTCAATAGATGCAAACAAATAGCAAACGAATTTTCTGGAAGGATATCCTGAAACTATGAAACTCCTTCCAGAAACTAAAAGAAAAAGCACAAGTTTTCACAAGCAAACTCATCACAGTCCCACTTTGAATAGCAGCAATAGAAAAGGTTACTGTGCGCAACTAACAAGAGAAAGAGAGTAAATGGAATCATCACAGCAGCTTAGTTTGTGTGTACTTAAAAAAAAAGAAACTCAAGAAAACAATAGTTTATAGTTTATATGATGCTACTGTAACAATGATAATCTATAAGAACACAAAACAAACTCTTCTGGGTAATCTCACACACAGTTGTCAGACAATATATTATCACCCAAATTCCAAGGACCTTTCAAACGCTGGACAGCCAACGCAAGAGAGCTTTGTCTTTAGCAGTCTAACGAGCTAACACAATACACTAGTGATTAACAAAAACAAGAAAAAACTATAACTTTTGTGTGTGTTCTTAACTAAGAAAAATTATAACTTTTAGAGGAACAAGAGAACTAAAACACCATCACACACCACACCGGTTTGAAGCAATATCATATTGGAAAAATTAGCAACAAAAAGAGCTAAGAACATCAAAGATTCAAAATTCTTACCAAAATTAAAGGTCATGAACTCTTTAGGAATGAAGCTTTCCGAAGATTCTTCTTTCTAATTTTGAACTAAGAACAACAAAACAAACTCAAATCTATTATATGAAGAATAACAAATCGAAATCCCCAAATTTTAGTTAGAAAACCCTAAGAAGAGGAATCATACCGAACTGGATTCATGATTATGCCATTTTGACGAACTGTATTAGCTTTTGATTTAGTCAACGACGAACTCAATCACCACCACGAGCCTGAAGAGTGAAGACGAGCCCAATTATCACCACGAGCCAAGTCTGAGTCGACAAGGATGAAGAAGACCCAAGGCCGAGGTGAGACGCGGCGGCGAGCTGGTAACGGAGAAGCGACGACTCCTGAGCTTTGGGACAGGATACCACCACTTGAGATCAGCCACTGAGTCGCCGTGATACTGTCTCCGGCGTCTTCGATGGAGACGACGTCATGATCAATCTGAGAATTCGTTGTCGCAGTTTGTCGACAATGATAGAGTTCTTTTTTTTTTTCTTTTAATTAACATGTTTGAGGGTAGTGTAGTCTTTTAGTCCATTAATGAATGTCATTTCTGTCACTTTTCCCTTTAGATGCTATTTTTGTGACAAAAACTTTAAAAAGACTATTATTGAGAATTGCCCTTTTTTTATTTTTTCAAAATGGAGAAATCTAAAAATGGGAATGCAAATGGCCATATATATAACTGCCTCATCAGGCAACAATCAGCAAACGCTTATGCAGTTGAAAGAAGTAATTAAAAATTCCGTTTTTTTCACATTACCAACACCTATGGGAGAAATCTAAAAATGGGAAGACAAATGACCATACATAAAACTGCCTCATCATGCAACAATCAGCAAACGCTTATGCAATCGGAATCCCCTATATATTAAAAGAGAATCATTTAAAAAATTGTAACCTTAAGTTTGTAATAGTTAAAAATAAGTCTAATCCTATGTGGCATCTCTTTCTCTTATATTTCAGTTTAGAAGGATTCTAGAGCATGTAATATAATATATAGTCTAAAAATTATAATCTAGCAATATAATAATTTGTAGGCTATAGTTGGTCGCATATATCAGATATTTATTATTTCGCATGCTTTCATTAAACAAAACCTACGGAATTACCTAATGTGATTAAAATATATATATATATATATATATATATATATATATATATATATATATATATATATATATATATATATATATGACAATTAATGATTTTAAACAATAAAGATTTGATAACAATCTGTATACTTTTTCTCATTTTCTTTATTTCTTTATTACTAAAATAATTACACAATTACATTAATCATATAATAAAAATCTAAAATTTTTGTGTATGTTGTATTTCGAATTTTTCAAAATGAGTATAAATTAATAAAACTGTTAAAACTCTCACATAAACTTTTAGTATCAAGGTTTTAATTTTTTCTATATTAAAATATAATGATTATAAGACCATATGAATAAATAATTTTAGTTTATATATATTTCATATCGTTTTAATTAAACTATACATCTTATGAAAATACATACTTATATTTTGATATTTGCATTGAACATATATTGAAAATTTAATATTTTAATTTTGAATATGTCATTGTTTTTTTAAATGATTATAAATTATTGAAATTACTAAACATCTCACATTAAAATAAATTTGTTGGAGTAAAGTTCTGTTACACAAATATGCAAATAATCATAAAATCATATGAGTAGAAACCTCATTTAATAAATATCAATTTTA